GTACCCGCTGAAGGCGTCCATGAAACTCATGAGCTCGCAACCCGCCGTCTCATCCACCAGCTGGTCGATGTTCGGGAGTGGGAATGGATCCATGGGGCATGCCTTATTTAGGTCGGTGTAGTCCACACACATCCTCCATGTATTTCCCTTCGGAGCCAACACTACGTTCGCCATCCATTCCGGGTACTTAACTTCTCTGATATGCCCAATGCTTTGGAGGGTGGTCACTTCCTTGGAGACGAACTCCCTCCGCTCGGACGAGAGGAAACGCTTCTTCTGCTTTACTGGCCTAGATTCCGGGTTGACCGCCAACCGGTGACATATGATCTTGGGGTCCACCCCCGGCATATCCCCAGGTCCCCACGCGAAGATCACGCGGTAGGCGGCGAGCACTTCCACCAAGCGCATCCGCTGGCTCGTCGTCAGGGTCGCCCCGACCTTAACCCTCCGCTCGGGAACTTGTGGGTCGAGCGGCACTTCCTCAACTTCCTCGGCGGGCTCGGCCGAAGGCCGAGCTTCCAGCTTGCGCATTCCCTCTTGCGCGTGTACGACCATTGTCTCATCCCTCGGCAACTTCTTCGTGATTCTTACGTAGCACAATCGGGCCAACTTTTGGTCTCCCCTTGCCACCCCGATGCCGGACGGAGTGGGGAACTTCATGCATAAGTAGTACGGGGAGATCACACATTCCAAGTCCTCAAGGCCGGGCCGCCGCAGGATCATGTTGTGCGCACAGTTGATGCTCACAACCATAAACTCCATCTTCAGCTTCGCCTTGTGCGCACCATCCCCTACTATCACGGATACAACGATAACTCCCTCGGCCTCGATGGAGTCCCCCGTGAATCCGGAGAGAGAAGTGCGCACAGGCCTCAAGTCCTTGCGGTTCAAGCCGAGGTCTTGGAATGTTTTCTCGTACATTATATTGACTGAGCTTCCCGTGTCCACCAAGGTGCGGTGTACTATGGCGTCGTTGATCTCTATCTTCACGACTAAGGCATCCCGGTGGGGACTCGGCGTGTTCGGAAGATCCTTCTCCGTGAACTGGATTTGCTCTCGTCTTCCGAGCTTGGGCGCCGGCGCCTGATGGACCTTGGCGACAAAGGCCATGTGCTTCCACCTCTTCCTTTGAGCGGCGGAGTCCCCGCCAATGTTTCCCCCATGGATAAATCCCACCGGATATCCTTGGGCTTCGTCTTCGTCCAGATCGTCGCACTCCCGCCCAATGTGCCTCTTCTCGGGGTTCCTTGCCTGCGTCGCCACTGCGATTGGCTCAGTCGCCTTCCTCCAAGTTCTTCCTTCCGGCGGGCCCCGGGAGGGGGTAGCCGCGTCGTCTCTTGGAAGCGGCCCTCGGGCGATGAGTCGTTGCATTTCCTTATGGAGAGTGAAGCATTCCTTAGTGTTATGAGTGTTGTTACGATGGTACTCGCAATACTTAGTTCCGCTGGACACCGCGTAAGCCTCTACGTGGGGGAGCGGGGAAAGGGCAAGCTCTCGACCCGCCCCCACGGGGGCGCCCACAGAGTATACTCCGGCCGAGGGCGTCCTCGGGCCCGCGGTATAGTCTTTCTTCTTCTTCCTCTTCTTCGCGGCCTCTCCCGAATCTACTGAAGCTCGCTTAGCCGGCGCGGCCTCGGATTCCAGGGCATCATCGAACTCCTCCGAGGCTAAGAACTTTGCGCGCGCCAAGGTCTCTTGGTACGTGGGGGGAGGATTCTTGCGGAGCTCCTTCCTCACCTCTCCGCGGGGGAGGGCTGCTTGGAACATGGCAACCAACGCCTGGTCATCCGCCCCATGCACGTCTCTGGCTTCCTTCTCCCACCGGACTATGAAGTCGCGGACCTTTTCTCCCTTG